AGATTGCCCAACCTTCCTTCCGAGGAGTGGCCTGTGGGTTTGAACCACCAGCCTTCTGGTTAGCAGTCAAATGCCTTAGGCACTATGCCACCGACACAGGAGGCAGCAAATGTGCCTTGGTTTTTACCACACAAACCAAGCAGTTGCCGTAGGGTTGACTCCAACTCCTGGTGCCCGTGTGTGACTCAGTAGAACCGTGCCCCACAGGGCTTTCAATGGCTGATTTTTCAGGAGTGGATCAGCAGGCCTTTCTTCCAAGGTGTCTCTGAATGAACTTGAACTACCAGCCTTCTGGTTAGCAGCTGAGCACTGTAACTGTTTGCACCTCCCAGAGACCATACAAACAAAAGAAAAAAATCAGCCAGGATTCCCCCATTTGTCCAAGGTGATTTGTATTGCCATCAGGCAGTCCTCAAACAAGTCCTATGAAACAGGTTCTGTTACTAGGTCCTTTTAAAAGCTGAGGTTCAGACAGGGCTCCACTGTCAAGGCTCAGAAGCAGGATATAAACCCTGATCTGTTCCCTCTGCCACCAGAGCTCCTTGCCTGTGACATGGGTTCCTGTCCCCAAGCCTCTCGAGGGTGATGTTGCAGATTGAACAGTCTCCCAAAAATATGTGTTGCAAAGTCTAACTGCCATACTTGTGGAAAGGAGCTGTGGTGGTGTAACGGTTGAGGTATTTGGCCCCTAACCAAAAGGTTGGTGGTTCAAACCCACCAGCTGTTCCAAGGAAGACAGATGAGGCAGTCTGCTTTTGTAAAGATTTATAGGCTTGGAAACCCACTGGGGGTCACTATGAGTTGGCATCGATTCAATGGCAATGAGTTTGGTTTTGGTTTTGATACTTATGGATGTCATCCCACTTGGGAATGTCTTTTCCTTATTCTACTAATGAGGCCATATCAGAGCAGTGTTTTAGGCCTATCACCTTTGGGATATAAACAGTAGATGAGGCATGGAGAAGCAAGAACAGATGAGGGAACACAGAGGCCACACCACATGAAGATCACCTAGGAACCGAGGAAGAGAGCTACAAAGAGACAAGGACTTGCCACCAGGGCCAACAGAGAGAGCGAGCCTTCCCCTAGAGCCAGCCCCTTGAATTCAGACTTCTAGCCTCCTAGCCTCCTAAACTGTGAGAAAATTACTTTTTTTGCTGAAGCCACCCAACTTGCAAGCATTTGTTATAGCAGCACTAGGTACCGTATTTTTCACATGTAACATGCCCATGTAAATAATGCATGCACACATAGTGCACATAGAAAACACACAACATGGTTGTAGTTTGCAAAAACTATGTAACGTGCACATTGTTTGCATAAAATACGGTAGGACAGATGGGCTGCAGCCACAGCAGGTGGCTGGACCACATTTGGAGACAGGATCCTGGAGGAGGAGCAGCTCCCCAGCAGGCTCCCCACTACACCTCATCATCACCCCCCAAACCCTAGGCACTGTGGGCAAATGCCCTTGTTCTTGGGCCCAAAGCCATCCCAAGCACAAAGTCCAGCTCCTGGATCGTGGGAAGAGCAAGCACCAGGGACAGCTCCTGGACACAACTCTTGTTCGTTGCCAAAGGCAGCCTCCTCCATCCTGGTATCAGCCCACAAGGGGTGGTCCTGGGGGAGGACCTCACATGCAGGGAATAGGGGAGAGATGGTGTAGGGACATTTTGTCATGGGATGGGGCCAGATTCCCTCTCTATGAGTTATCAACAAGAACTCCAGACAGGGACATGAGTCAAAGGGCTCTGGTTCCTGTATAAGCACATGGGGTTGTTGAAAAATCAGCCATTGAAAACCCTGTGGGGCACAGTTCTAAGTGGTCCCTGAAAGACTACCTATCCAAGGGACTCTTCCAGAGCTCACAGGTCCTCAGAAACTGCCTTCGGAGCTGCCTTTGGCCAAAGATAATCATCAGTTTGAGTATCGAAGCAGGCATCCAAGTGACTTCCAGCTGTTTCCAAAATTCAATCTCCAATCCCAAAGCCCAAGACTTTCCCCTCAGAACTCCAGACACATTCTGAGAATTAGCCACTCAAAAATGAAGTTTCTCTCCTGGGGAGCACTGGTCAAACATCATGTGTGTGGCCCTCCCCTGTCCCTGAGTCCCAGCAAAGGCCCCTTCCAACAGAGATGGAGTGTGAACACTCCCACCCACAAGCCAGATTCAGCTCCAACATTCCCAGAAGCAGGGCCCCTGCCTCTTCTCCCTGTGAGACAGAACCTGGGAGTTGGGACTGACCCAGGCTCCATTTGTTCCACTAAGGAGTCTTAAGTGTTTGGTTTGGGCTCCTGCCAGTCCTATGGGGGGGGGGGGGGCAGAAGGGGGACAAAGCTTGTGCCAGCTCAGCTCTGTGGGCCCTGGGAGGGGGGGTGGCTGGCATGGGGCAGCCTGCCACATCCCCACTCAGGGACGCAGCTTGTGCCCCCTGGGAGCCCACTGCCTTTCCTTCCATTTCAGGGGCTTCTCAAAATGCAGATTTCTGGGCACACCCTACTCACATCTACTCAATGGATTCTCTAGGAATGGGCCCTGGAATGAGCATTTTTAATGCACCCAAGGGACTTTGATGCACAGTAAGGGTTAACAACCGCTGCTCTAGGAAGCCAATGATAGGGACCCAGGCTCCAAGAAATGCCTAGAAATGGTTTGTGACAGCATCTGTGCATTTTGCTAGAGACTATCATAGGATTCATTCTCCAATTAGGTCCCTGACACTGCCTCCCCCCCACCAACACACACACACAAACACACACACACAATACAGAGGCTAAGAGCACTGGGTGAAGGAGAGGATGTCTACATTCAATTGTAGCTCTGACCATCAGGGTGAGGCCACCAGAACTTCTCCTTTAACCAAACCTCAGAGAAAGATGCTGCTGGCCCTGAAAGAGGTTGGCAGGTCTGGGCAAACCAGGATCCCAGAAAACTGCACTGAGGTGCAGACGGACAACAATGGCCAGGGGTTTAGGTGAAGACAAGAGCCCATCTTCCCAGGCTTTCAGAGACATCAAGACCTTTCAGAATATTTCAGAACTTCTGAGGTGAAAAGCCCCCTTAGGGATTACAGAAACCAACCCTCTGGTGCAAAAGATGAGTTTCATCGGTATCTGGTCCTCTCTCTCTGGCCTCACAGCCAAACTACATTTCCCAGTCTCCACTGCAGGTGGCAGGGATCAAACGTGGAATCTTAGCCAATGGGATGTGGGTTTTCCACTGGATGCAGTAAAGGGCTCAAAGTCTCCAAAGATGGCCGAGCTGCAACAGGACAGGAGGCTGGGTTCCAACGACTGCAAGGAGCAGAGCTGGCCAACGACCCCCCCAGCCCAGCAACCCACCTGACTGGGCCACGATGAGGAACTGACCATTTGTGTGAACGACGCTCTACTGTAAACTGAGCCCGGAGATCCACACGGAAGCGCATGTTTAGTGTCAGAATCAGCTTCAGGGCTAGAACTAGGACTTCCCAACTTCAGCCATGACCATATACCACAGCCTGGGCAGCAACAATTCCCAAAAAACTTTATTGTTTCAAGTGGCAAAACGTCATTGGTCTCTGTGGGGCACCTGACAGAACAGCCGGGGGAGGGGGCGCTGGAGCTGGGATAGGCTCCGCCCTTTACAAAACATCATTGGTCTCTGGGGCACACTGGACAGGGCAGTGGGGGAGAAGGGGCGGGGCTGGGGCAGGCTCCGCCCATTACAAAAATCAAAGGCTTTTATAAAAAATGCTATAAATTGGTATCAAAAGAAAACCCAAGGGAAGCTGGAGGAGGAAGCAGAGAGAGAGGAGAGGGGGGCAAGGGAGGGACCAAAACCTTCAACTACTAATGACTGAACCCGGGCAGGGTGGGCCGGTGGGGGAAAGATGGGAGAAGGGTACAAAGTGCATAAATGTGCCTCCCAGACGCTCCTTGGAGGTGGGGAGGAGCAGAGGCTGCAGCCTGGGCGCGACGGGCTCCAGCTGTCTCCTCTCACAGGGACCCCAAGAACAGCACTGCCTGAGACTGCCGGATGGGAGGGACCTGGAACGGAAGACCAGTGGGGAAGGACCACGGCAGGCAGCATGGAAGTTCTGCTCCCTACCCGCCTCAGTGCCCACCCGAGCTCCCCAAGTGACAAGGAAAGACCCTGCTCACTGGCCTCAAGACTGGCCTCCCCACCAGCACAGGGCAAGTCCTCCAGGGACTACAGACCAAAAAGGCCATGGGACCACACACAGGCCATCACAAGGCATGGGGACCGTCCCTGAGTGCAGGGAGGGCGGCCTGGATGGAAGTCTTCCTCCTCCTCCTCCATGTCAGGCCAGACAGCATCCTGCCCTGGGGTGGTCCCTGTGAGCTGAGGGACCCACCAGCTCTCTGCAGTCTGGATTCACCTGCCTGTTTCCATCCTCCCTGCAGCCTGGAAGAGGGTCGGGTGTAGGGCCTCCTGAGTCCTCCAGAGCTAGCCCACCCCTGGATCCCACCTGTCCGGCTCCAGGAAGGAACCTTAGCCCGGGAACCCGACCTCACCTCAGTGACTTCTCAGACCTTCTTCTTCTTCAGCTTCAGGGCTTGCAGCCAGTTAGGTGACGATCCTTCTGACCTAGAAGACAGAAGGCAAAGGACAGAAGGCAAATTTTAGAGAAGCTGAACAAAACAAGGCATGGTAGGGGCAGAAACCTGCCCTCTGAACCAACTTAATGCAGTTCAACTTGGCCCTGTTTCGGTGCCCTAAGTAAGAGGCAAAGTGGGCAAATCCTACCTTCATTGTCAACGGTGCAGTAAGGACCAGGGTGAATCCAATCCCCAAAATGCAGTCCTCACTGTCCCACTTCCCCATCCTCAGTGCCAGCCACCCACACGGTACTCCCTTCTCTGACCCCAGCCACCTAGAGCTGGGTCAGAGATGCTCAGTTAGAAGGAACTTTCTTTCAGACTGGGAAACAGGCAGCTGCTAGCCGCCCCTGAGGGTTCATTAGAAATGACTCGCGGAATTCACAGAGTGTATTAAACTGCTAGAGATTTATTATACAAATGAAGAGAGTTTCCACATGCTGATGCGGGACATTCTACCCTCTCTCACACATACTCACCAACCAGGAAGCTCATCTGAGCCTCAGGGTTCAGGGCTCTTATCTTATAAGCCTCCCCACGATTATATCATGCCCCAAGCCTTTGTCAACAAAGAGCTCCCAGCTGTTCCCTCCTGGTAGACTTAGTCCTCACTCAGTAGCCTCAGGTGCTGGTCCATCAGAAAAGAACCAAGAACAAAGGCCAAACTGTTTTGTGCAGGTGATTCCACAGCTTGCATGGGGTTAAGACAATGAGGTCAATGCCCAGAGCTTAGGTCACCTACCCTGAGGATTTCTCTGGTTTGGGAGGTAATGAGAGGGGCTTTCCAAGCCCGGGGACCTTGCAGGACTTGGAGCGCTGAACCGCAGACTCCTTCTGAGTCGACTTGCTCTCCACCTGCTCCCCCTCCTCAGCTGAGCGGTTCCGGGGGCGCAGTTTAGCCTGTGAGGCAAGACCAGATCCAGAGAGATGTGAGCCAGGACAAGCAGGTGCATATTCAGAGGGTTAGGCTTTCTCCCAAGAGCACGCAGCCCCCCAGAACCAGGCACACACCCCTCTGCAGTCCCTTCACCTGATGGATGGGGAATCACTTAAAGACAAAGTGTGTACCTGGTCCAGCCGAGCGTCCCCTAAGAGCTAAGCCATGCCTTGCAGCAGATCTTCAAGAAAGATACTGCAGAACTGAATTCTGACCAACTGGGCTCAACAAAGCCAGCGATGACCTTTCACCATGTGTCTTTGCTTGTTCTCTTCCCTCTGGAATACCTCCCTACCCTCCTTTAAAAATTTAAAAAAAAAAAAAAAGGCACCAAGTCCATTCTAACTCATACCAAAGCAAAAGCATGTGTGTCAGAATAAAACTGTGCTGCACAGGGTTGTTGGGGTTTTTTTGTCATTGTTAACTTGTATGTCGTTGTTGTTGAGAATATTAGCAAAACACACACTCATTTAACAGTTTCTACCTGTACAATTCAGTAACACTGATTACTTTCTTCCAGTTGTACAACCATGCTCCCCTCCTTTTCTGAGCTGTTCCGCCCTCGTTAACATTAACTCACTGCCCCCTGAGGTTCCTATCGAAATCTCCAGTTGCTGTTGTCAATCTGATCCCATACAGTTTGTCTGTCTGTTTGTTTTCAAACACAACTAAGCTTTATTGAAGCAAAAGTTCACTCTCAAAGAACAAGAGAGGGCTGCTTCTCAGGAGTGAGAAGGGCCTCGATCACACATATAGTTCTTAGAGAGCATTATGCTCAGGGCAGACCTTTGTTACTAGTTAAGCTAAATTACTGCTCGGTTTTAAGATGATTTCAAGAGGTATTTTTGGTTTAAGGTTTAAAGATTATCTCAGGGCAATGGTTTCAGGGGTTCATCCAAACTCCATGGCTCCAGAAAGTCTAGGGTCCAGTGATTTGAAATTCTGTTTTTTCTCCCTTTTGATCAGGCTGCTTCTATGGAATCTTGGGAGAAAACGTTTAGTAATGGTAGCTGGGCACCATCCAGTTCTTCTGGTCTTGTGGCAAAGGAGGCAGTTGTTCACGGAGGCAATCAGACAGACAGACATTCTGTATCTTTCTCCTATTCCTGACTCTCTTTCTTCCTCTCTGGCTCCAGGTGAATAGAGCCCAATTGCCATGCCTTGGATGTTTTTAAGCCTGGATGCTTGTAAGCTTTTAAGACCCCAGGCACTATGCAACAAACTAGGAAGTGGAAAAGGAGCACTAAACTCATTATTAGGTCAATTAACTAGGATGTCCCATGAAGCCATGACCCTAAGCCTGCAAACCAAGGAACCAAACCTCAAGAGGTGTTCGACTGCACTTCAGCACCCTCAGCTGCTATTCTTTCCTTCTCTTATGTCATTGCTGTAAATGTATCTATCACACAACTTTTGCCAATTCAACTTTTTACAGGCGTACAACTTATTGACAGCAATTACAGTAACTGGTTGTGCAACTCCACCCTTAATGAAATTTATCCATCACCGTTAATCTCCCTCTCTACTGCCCCTGGTAGCCACTAATAAACTTTGGTCTCTACACATTTGCCCTTTCTTGTTTTTTTCCAATATAACTGAAATCATAAAATATTTGTCATTTTGTGATTGGCTTATTTCAGCATAATGTCTTGAAGCTCCATCTATACTATTGCACATACCAAGCCTTCATTTCTCCCACTGGCTGAGTAGTATTCCATTATATGTGTGTACCACATTTTGTTTATTCATCATCTGTTGATGGGCACTTAGGTTGTTTCTACTTTAGGCTACTGTAAAGGTGCTACAATGAACATCGGTGTACAAGTCTCTTTTTGAGACTCTGCTTTCAAGTCTTCTGGAAGTGGAATTGCTGGGTCATGGGGCAGTCCTGTTTGTAGTTTTTTGAGGCACCACCACACTGTTTTCCACAATGGGTGTATCACTTTGCATTCCTACCAGCAATGGATAAGGGTTCCAATTTCCCCACATCCTCACCAACATCTGTTATTTTGTTTAGTCTTTATCTTAGTCATAAAAGGTAAATGGAGTGAAATGGTAATGTCACTGTCCACAGGGTTTTTAATGGCTGATTCTTCAGAAGTAGACTGCCAGGACTTTCTTCCAAGGCAGCCCCAGGTGGACTTGAACCTCCAGCCGTTCAGTTACAGGCAAGCGTTCAACCATTTGTGCAAACTCCTATGCATGCCTCACAGCCAGGATCAGATGCTTACCTGAGGCTTTCCTCACGTACCCTCCTATGCCCCACCACCCCACTGTCATGAAATAAGCTCTCTTTCCAAACAGGCCCTTATCCATACCTCTCCAGCAACTCCCTTCACCAGAATTCATTATGGACACAGCCTGTACCCCCATTTCCCTGCACGGTTTAGGGAGCAAAAGCATGCACACAGCACAGGGCCCAAAGGGCACAAAGAAGTCTTTTGAGGGCCCTCACTGGAGCCCAGTGAGAGGAGGAACGCGGAGAGGTGGACCAGGGACACACAGGTGGACGGACAAAAGGAAAGCTGGATGCAAGGTGACCAGCTGGCCAGGGGGCTGGATGTGTTTGCTGAATGATCAGAGGGTACCTTTAGGGCAGATGGGCTCAGGGCAGGGAAGAGGTTGACTTTCAGCCCCTTGGTGCCCAAGGACATCCGTGTCCGGCGGCTCTGAGGCTCCTCCACCACCTCCTCATCAGATGATGGCACCCGGGAAGCTCGTGGCTCTGCAAGGGCCCAGGGAGGGGGCTCAGCACAGGGAGCAAAAGAGACCCCACAGACTTCCCCAACCCTGCACACCCTGGACCTGGTGCCCCCAGCTGATACCAAAAGGAAACAAACTAGTTGCTGTCAAGTTAGTTCCAACTCACGGCAACCCTGCGTCTTGCAGAGTAGAACTGCTCCGTAGGGTTTTCATGGCTGTGCCCTTTCAGAAGTAGATTGCGAAGGGTTTCTTCCAACGGGCCTCTGGGCGGTTTGAACCATCAACCTTTCAGTTAGCAGCCAAGTGCTTAACGGTTTGCACCACCCAGGGGAACACCTCGACATGGACACAGACATCATCAAACCATACACGGGCCCTACCTGTAGAGTCCTGGAACAGGCGCGCGTCTGAGTTCGCTGCATCTGACAGACCCAGCGTGCCGCCAGGCCGGATGGCCGGGGCCCGGTGCCCACGCTTGCGCCCCAGGTTGGCACGGCTCCGATACATGGCACTGTCAAGAATCTCGGTGTCCTGCTCAAGACAACAAACAGTACCACCCCTGCCATTGCTGTTCCTTGGTCCCACGCAATCCCACAGGAGTCCTTAACAGTAGCTGGCCATGAGCTAGCTGATCCCTCCTGACGTCGGGATCTTCCTATTCACACAATGCACCCACAGCCCACTCTCGGCCACCCTCTTCATAGCAAAGGGGTGGCTCTAGGAACCAGGTTATGGGGTCTATCCCCCACATCCCCCACAACAGCCCACCCACTACCCTGGGCTGGCCCTCCACTGACCTCCATGAAGGAGAAGTCCTGACTCAAAGAGCTGAGGGGAGGACCCTGGGGTGGCCGTCGAGGAGTCCGGGCCAGCCCCTGCTCGCCCTGCTGGGCCCCCGGGGTGCCCCAGCTGCCGTCCACCTCCTCTGTACGGCTGGCTTCACCATCAGGCTGGGGCCTCCAGGAGGGCAGAGGGTCCCTGCCAGGCTCCACCAGCTCCCCTTGATCAGCAACAGCTATGGCTCCTCCCTCCTGTAACAGGCACCCAAGGCCCAAGCCCCCTGACTCCCTGCGGGCCGACGCCTTGGCACTGTGGGCGGCCAGCATCTGCTCCAGCAGGCCCTGTGAGCCAGAGGGTGGGGTGCGGGCAGGGCACCCATCGGGGCTGCAAAGGGACAGACAGGAAACATTGTCAACAGTGAGCCTGGTGGCTATCCTCAAGCCCAATTCACTGGACCTGTCTTCCCCACCTCCCAACCTCTCCTGTTTCTCCTTGTGATGCTTTTCCCAGACTCCCTCGGGAAGGGCGTGGTCAGAGCCCTGAACACCACAGCAGTCAGGGGAACCAGCCTGGTGGGTTCAAATCTCAGGTCTGCCACGTACTAACGGAGACCCTGGGTGAGTTCCTTCACCCCTCAGAGCCTTGGTTTCCTCTAACTTTAGAGTCACTGCAGAGACAAAATGAGCATCTCAAGCACTTGGCCCAGTGCCTGGCACTCAGTGTGTGCCCTGCAAACAACAGCTCTTAGCACAGCTGAAGTCCCCAGGCAGTGCAATGCACTCAGCCGCTAACAGGAAGGTTAGAGTGTGGAGTCTACCAAAGGTGCCTCAGAAGAAAGACCTGGTGATCGACACTTCAAACATCAGCCACTGAAAACCCCACAGAGCGCAGCTCTACTCTGACACACATGGGGTCACCATGCGTCTGAGTCAACTTGACAGCCGCTGATAATGGTTCTATCATTACTGCTGCTATCAACGTGTTCCCTCCCAGAGGACGTGTTCGGGTGGTCCCTTCCCTTGGGATGAGTCAGGTCTTGGCCCACCAAGCTCTCCCCAGCCCCAGTCTCAGAACTACCAGTGAGTCCCAGAACACATCAGGCTCTTGCACACTGCTGTGTCTCTGAACAGCTCCCCACTGTGCCTTAACTTCCTCTTCCTGCAGTTCAAGCCCTCTTTTCTGAAGCCGTCCCGTTCCCCTCGCCTGCCTCCACGGCCGCTCTCCTCAGCTCTACATGCCATGGGTGCCAACCTCACCAGCCCCTGCCCCGAGTCCTGCACTTCTTTGTTCAGTCCTGTCCTACTGCTCTCTGTGGGCTCCTCAAGGGCAAGAATGCCCACTGCACCCGGCCAGCAAATGTTTGCTGAATGTCAGGCTGCGTCACTTTGGGCCCCGACGCAGTTCACGGTGCTTCAGATTGCCGTACCCTCAAAACACATGATAAAAAGAAAGAAGATTGAGGTTCTCAAGGATTTCGTCTTACTTGGGTCCACCAGCAGTGTCCATGGAACCAGCAATCAAGAAATCAAACAACATACTGCACTGGATTAAATCTGCTGCAAAAGACCTTTTAAAGTGCTAAAAAGCAAAGACGTCATTCTTAGGACAAAGATGCCCCCCCGAACCAAGCCATGGCATTTTCAATTGCCTCATATGCATGTGAAAGCTGGACAGCGAATCAGAAAGTGATAGAGAATTGATGCATTTGAATTACAGTGTTGGAGAAGAACATGGAATGTACCACAGACTGCGAGAAGAATGAACGAATCTGTCTCAGAAGTACAAACCGAATGCTCCTTCGAAGCGAGGATGACGAGACCTCATCTCATGTATTTTGGACACGCTATTGGGGGGCCAGTCCCTAGAGTAGGACATGACGCTTGAAGTAGAAAGCCAGCAAAGGAAAAGCTCCTCAATGACATGGACTGACACAGTGGCTGCAACAATGGGCTCCAGCACAGCAATGACTGTGGGGTGGCTGAGGACCGGGCAGTGTGTCACTGTGAGGTATACTGGGGTTTCTTTGAGTCAGGACCAAACAGACCGCACCTAACAACAAAACCCAACACAAACCACGCACAACGCACTGCACACTCTCCAACTCATATACCTCCTACTCCAAGCGTGTGTGTAATCTGGCTGCCACTGCCTAAAATACACACTCACTGCACACTGCCTACAATATACACACTCACTGCACACCTCACACAGGGAGTGCGTGTGCTGTCCAGTTGTCACTCTCTACAATATACACATACGTGCACACATTCACTGTATAATTCACATAGGGAGCACATGTGCTACCCATTTGTCTCTCCCTACAATACACATACACACACTCACTGCACACCTTATCAATGACACACACACACTCACTGCACAGCTCACACAGGGATCATGTGTGCTGTCTGGCTTTCTGTCACACCCTCTGAACATAACTAGTGCCCCCACACCTGCAAACCCAGCACAAAGCCACACCCTGCCACACTGCCTCACCCCCGCCCTCAACACAGCAGACTGGGCCAGGGAAAGGGCTGTGGGGCAGCGCCCGGAAGTCAGGCCAACTCTGGCACCAGAGAGAGGAGCGGGAGGCAGGTGAGTCAATATCAAGCCGGAAGAGGAGGACGGAGGGATAGAACGCGAATCAGTCTGTCCTTCCACAAGCTGCTGACAGATGGAAACTGAAGCAGAGTGGGGAGGGGAGGAGGTGGCGGTGGCGCAGCAGAAGGACACAGGCAGTGGAATTGGGAACAGTCCTGGACGGGAGCCAAAGGCAGCTCACCCTCACAGCCAGCTTGAAAACAGGGAGGCTCAAGAGAGAAGGGGTGATGATGGCACCCCACCCAGCCAAGGGGCCCCGCCCAGAGCCTCTCCCCGGGGTGGGGCCGAGGGGAGGCCAGGCAGGCCCTGAGAGCAAAAGGGATGTGAAACTCCCAATGGGGAGATGGAAAGACTCCCTCCCCAGACGTGGCCCCAAGCCAAGAGGGCAGAGGTCTGGGGGTAGCCATGCAGAGGAGAGAGAGGGGAGAGCCCCACAGAATGCAGGGCACATCGTCCTGCCTATCTAAACCCCACTGCCCCAGCACTTCATCTCGAGGGAGCCTCCCCGCCCCTCGGATGCCCAGAACACCCACAGCCTGAGCCCCGCCCCAGCACGAAAGCAGGAGGTGGAGTGGTTAGGAACCTGGGTATCGAGGCTGGCCACTCTGGTCCAGATCTGGGCTCCGTCACTCACTAGGCCTGTGGCTTTGGCAAAGATATGGACCCACCCTAAGCTTCAGCTCCTTCATCTCTAAAATGGGGATAAAAACAAAAGGACCTGTACTTTGAGGTACAAACAGTCAAGTGCATTCAGCTGCTAACCAAAAGGGCAGAATCCACCCAGAGGCCCCTGGGAAGAAAGAACTGGCAAAGAACTTGCAGAAATCAGCCCTTGAAAACCCTGTGGAGCACAGTTCCACCTGACACACGTGGGGGCTCTGTAATCAACTCCACAGCAACCGGTTATACTTTGCTGGGTGTGCTGACAGAAATGTGTGCAGCATGCAGTTAGTGCTTGGTGGATGTTAACAGATAATTAGGGTGATCGGCACCATCATGGATTCCTGCCTTGAAAGCCCGTTTCAGCTCATGTCGTCTGAGCCCCTCCACCTGTCTACACTGAGCCTGAGGTCCCCGCTCCAGCCGCAAACACCATGATGGAGGCAGCAGCAGGGCTGCAAAAAAATTGGCTTTCTAGGGTGCAAGGCTGCCGGGCCCAGGGATAAGGGAGGGTTCAGGGCTAGAGCTGGAAGGGTGTGACCCCAGAGAGATAGGGGGCACCCCAGGAGAGGGCCACAAGGCTGGGGCCCAAGGGAACATGACAGAACCCACAATCACAAGCTTGGGACCTTGCACAAGACACAGCTGCTGGTGGGCCTCAGTTTCCGATCCCTGCAAGCGGGAGCTGGAGTCAGTGATCACTGGGGCTCTTCTTGGATTCTCTAAAGACCACGAAACGGCTCAGAGGCTCCTGCACCCCCAGAAGGAAGGGCAAGAGGAGACCAGGAGGCCAGAGAGAAGATGGTGGGCCAACTCTAGGGAAACCCAGGAGTGCCGCTCCAGAGGACGAGGTAGCCCCAGACACAGATTAAGGGGGGCCTTCACTCTCTCTACTTCTCCCCACGCCCCCCCACAATGCTAGTCTTGTCACAGCTGTGCCAGAGAGCAGTCCAGTCAATGACTGTCCTCAAGGGTACCTCTGTCCAACAAAGGGACAGTGACAGAAATGTCCCCAAGGGCCTCACTTTAGGAACACCTCACACCCCAACTTGCAAAACAGATACAGCTGCAGCTTTCAGTGGTTACTGCCTGCCATGCGGGCTTCCATCCTTTACCTTGTAGTAAACACACCCTGACAACCACCCCATGAAACAGGGACGTACTATGATCACTCCCAGCTTACAGACAAGGAATTGGAGGCACTGAGCAGTAGCCCGTTCAAGGTCACAGAGCTGGTGACAGAATCAGGATCCAAACCTGAAAGCCAGGCTACTCCGAGCGATCCTCAGGGACGTCTCGGGACAGAAGGGACCTCGGAACATTCCCTTCCAAAAGGAACTTTGCACAGTACAGGTGCCCTAAGCCCTGCTCGGAAGACGAGCTGCTCGCATTCTGCTCAAGTTAGGTTTGGGAGACAGTGAGCGCAGAAAAGTAAACAGGTTTCTTGATTGCTGTGCTTCTCGCCATCTTTAATGTGCTCATACATACACGCTCATACATGTTCACACACATACCGACGTCTCCTTCATGGCCACAGAGCGTGAACATTTTCCAAACTCACCCATGGACAGGCAATCTTTAGGGCTCATTCTGGGCAAAGCCTGCCCTACAGCATGCAACTCACACCTGCCTTTCCAAGTAACCATACCCTTTCTCTGGGGAAGATACTTTTTTTTTCATTCATTGCATGAAATGAGGCTCACCTGTATGCTTGCACAGGGGCGCCCCAAACTCAGATCACACCCACACTGGCCAGATCATCTTAACAGAGCAGGAAAGGCAGTTTCCACGTTTCGTGGCAACCAAGCTCAGACAGCTGAGTGCAGAGGGCTCCCAGCGTCATGCCGTACCCTCCTCTTCCTGCAACCCAAGCCAGCTACCATCCAGCTGACTCCAATTCATGGCAACCACACGCATCAAGGCAGAACTGTGCTTCTTGTATGTTTCAGATCACCAGGACTTTCTTCCAAGGTGCCTCCAGTTGGACTCGAACCTCCAACCTCTCGGTTAGCAGCCGAATGTCTTAAAAACTTGTACCACCCAGGGACCCAGTCGGTCATAATGCCACCCCGCCCTACCAGCCGTCTCCTGGCAGCCTCCTCCATCTTAAACAAAGGGAAAGCTATTATCGCGTCTCGATCTCCTCTGGCTTGAATCGTATGCTGTAGGGCAGTTCTCGCAATCCCAGGGCAAAAGGGGAGGCTGTGGGTCCCTCTCCTTAGCATGAGAGCAGGACACCTATCTGTAGGTTTGACAGTGGTACTGCTGACTCTGGGGCCTTCAGCGGGTCACACCAGCTCTACCTGTGAACTGCAGCAGGTGACAACCCCTCTCCTGCTTCACAGAGCAGCTGTGAAGGTGAGACAGGAGGCTGAGCTCCGCAGGGCAGAGTTCTCGGCGTCCTAGGCAGAGAAATCAGGAGCAGGCCCTGGACCCCACGTGCTCCCTCAACAGAAATTTTAAAGCCAGACCACTGAGCTCCCTGCATCTAAACATTAGAAAGCGAGCCTCAGAGAGGGCCCGCAGCTGGTCCAGGACCCTGTGAGCACCCGTCCCGTGCACGCACCCCTCCCTGCGGCCTTCAGTCTCCTGGATTTCTCCCCACACTCCTCCATGTCCCCCCAAACAGCATGCTCCCCCGTCCTCAACTCCCCTGGGCATCCTCCTGGCCCCTCCACCGCAAAGCCTGTCCTGCCCACCTGCCCCCTCACTCCTCCTCAACTTCAAACGCCTCTGCCGAGCCCCTCCAACATACCCATGATTCTAGAACCTTCCTGGTCCCTCTCACCCTCCTCCCACTACCACCAGCTCCTCCCATTTAGAACACAGCCCCCAGCCAACACCTCCCTTCCTTTCCCACAGGCCTCGTGAGAAGCTCTGCTAGTCAGGAAAGAGAACAAAACCCAAACTCAATGGATGGAAATGTGAACGAAATAGATGCAATGCCTTTTTAGCACCTTTTCCGGGTGCGAAATCACCTCTGTTGATTTTAGAACATAAAAATCCATGAGAGAGACTGTGGCTGGCTCATAAAGCTAGTTTGTTCCTTTTGAAAGTTCTCTCTCTTTCAGCAACTCTGTGCATGAAGGCCAAGGTCATGAGGCTAAGAGCCAGGTCCCAAAGCCTCTGAGGTTGCGCTGAAACCACTGATCTTTGGAGCCTCGTGGCAGAGCAAAGCAACAACGCAACACACTGCCGTGGAGTCGGATCCAACTGATAGGGACCCCTCCTTGGGTTTCCGAGGCGGTATCACTAGGGAAGCAGATTGCCCAACCTTCCTTCCGAGGAATGCCTGGTGGGTTTGAACTGCCAGCCTTCATGGCAGAGCAGCCAAGCACCAAGTTTCTAACCTCCGTGAGAATCAACATCCATGTCGCCATTCTTGACCCTCAGCGTTGCTAAGCCACTGTCAGTCCTGACTCATAGCGACCCCACGTGTGCAGAGTAGAACTGCTCTGTAGGATTTTCAAAGCTGTGACCTTTTGGAAGCAGACAGCCAGGACTGACTTCCAAGGTTCCTCTGGGTGGTTCCAGACTGCCAACTTTTGGCTAATAGTTGAGCACTGAACCATTTGTGACATCCAAAGGCTCCTCAACCTGTAATGCACCAGGCCAAGAAAACATGGAGTTCTCCTTTCTACACCCATGGAAGTATCCATGTCTCCTGGCCCCGGAGCACCTACGACCTCCAGGATGAAAGGAACACAGAAGAGCAGCTGTGCACAATAGGGCCCGCCAGAAACCATCCCAGAGGTGACATAAACCATTTCCCCCTGCACGGTCTCAACACAAAGTCTCCAAAAGCCTAAAGAGTGGGTAACAAGACAGCAACACCTCAAACATGACATTCATCATTCAAAGAAGGATCATCTGTGTGTACCATACTTCGATTTAAAAAACCTAACGTTGAAAACCTGCAGTCCACAATGTCTCCATTTTCTAAACCCAGTGGTCCTTGGAAAACCTGTTTCACCCCCCTTAGAAGAGCTCCAGTTCTTCAGCCAGCCGTCACACCTCCCCTCCCTCACCAGAATGGGGCCCCCCTACCTGGCTCCAAAGCCAGAGACATCTCCCATCTCCATCCGGGGGTCTTCAGGGCGCATATCTGAGGAAAGCGAGGAGTCTTCTTCGCCCGGGGTCTCTGGTCCACTTGTCTCGCCAACTCCCATTTCCCTGGTCTCTGAGGGGTGTCTGGCCTCCAGGTCTGGGGATAAGTCCCCACTGCTCCTAAGGTGTAGCTCTGGGCACTGGTCGACCTCTCCCACCCCATGCTCCCTGACTTCGCTCAGGCCCCCAGACAACTCCACATGCCGCAGTCCCAAGTCCTGGGTCCAGTCCATCTGCCCTACTCCACACCCTCGCAGCTCAGGGGACCCTCCTGACTCCAGGTCACAGGACACCTCCAAATTCCTTAGGCCCAGATTGTTGCTCCAGTCCATCTGGCCCACACCAAGCTCTCGGGACTCGCTGGGACTACAACCTGTCCCTGGGGCCATGTTTCTCAGCCCAAGGTCAGGCGTCCAATCTGCCTGTCCCACACCCCGCTCTCGTGACTTAAGAAACTCTCCGGCTTCCTCACCTGACCAGTCAGTCTGTCCCACACCACTCTCCCTAGCCTGAGTGTGACCTTCCCCCTCCCCAATTCCTGCCAAATCTCTGCTCTTCACCCTGACTTCAGAAGTCCAGTCCTCCTCCCTGACTTGGATCCCCCTGGACTCCTCAGACCCCCCAGTCTCCAAACAGCTAGCCAGGTCCATGTCCCTCAAGCCCAGGTTGTCTGCCCAGCCTCTCTGTCCCACGGCATTCTCCCTGGATTCCCTTGAGCCCCCTGCACCCAAACAGCTGGACACTTCCAGGTTCCTGAGGCCTAGCTGGTCAGTCCAGTCCACAGGCGTGGCTGTAGTCTTTCCGGGAGATACAAAGTGGCCACCTCCCACCTTGCCGGAAGGGCTCAGGCCAGCACTGCTAGCTCTGTCGTTGCCTATGATGCCGAACCGGTAGCTCCTCTCGGTGCCCTCGATGCAGAAATCGTCGTTCCAGTCTGGCCGCCCAGGACTGAACGTCATCTCCGGCTGGGGGGCGAGCCCAAGGCTGAACTCGGTGGCCCAGCCTCGCCTCCCCGTCTCCCTATCCTCCAGGTCAGCATCGTCAGGGCTCTGGCCCCCCGCCTGCTGTCTGTGCTGCAACCCTCCGACTTCCTGGGTGGCATCACTGCCTTGCTCTCTCTGCCCAAGTGCCCCATCCTGGGGCTGGGGGATGCTGGGGCTGAACAGACCCCCTGGCTCCCTCTCTTCCGGCTGGCTTGCATTCCTGCTGGCCTCACCAAGGCTGTCTCCGCCACTCGGAACCTTCTTCTCAAATTCCTCATCTTGCTGCTGGGCTTCCTCGGGGCTGAACCCCACACTCAGGGCTCTCGTGCCGAAGCCTCTGTCCTGGGAGCCAAGAGGGTTGGAGTCGCTGCCACTGCTGTAGTCACTCACCCAGGTGCTCTGCCCAAAGCCCTGGCCCTGCTGCTCCTCATCCCGGCTGCCGAAGGTACCGAGGGTAGACTCTCTCTTCTCAAACTCCCGGTGGTGCTCACCCACATCCTGGCTGCCCAGCGGGTCCTTCTGCCCCGATTCCTGGCCCTGCTCATTTGAATCCCGGCTGGCGTACGTGCCCAGAGATTCTCTCTTCCCAAATTCCCAGTGCCGAAGACTTGCATCCTGACTGCTGTAAGCACCCAGCGAGTCTCTCTTCCCAAATTCCTGATCTTGGCTAGTGTAAGTGCCCCGGGAGTCCCGCTTCCTGAACTCCCAGTCCTGTGCAGCAGCCTCTGGGCTCTGCGGAGCGCCAGGTGGGGTCGGCTTCCCAATGACCCGGTCCTGGGTGGCAAGCCTCCCTGGGGCAGACGCCTCTCTCCTGTCTCCACCGCCAGCCTCCATCTCTTCTTGGCCAATGCCACACCGGCTGGCCCACTCCTTGGCACTTCCTTCCCCCTCTCCTTGCCCATACTTGCTAGTCCAGTCGCTCTCCCCAAGGCCTGGGTCTCTGGGGCTCATGGCCCCAAGGCCATAGTCCTGGGAAGCATCTTGGGACCAGCTGGCAGGGCTGAAACTGCTGGGCTGCGGGTCTGCTGCAATCCCAAATTCACTCTGCAGATCTTTCTGGGCCCAGCCCAGGAGTCCCTGGGAATCAGAAAAAAAACAGAGACAAAGAAATAACGCTCAGAGTCAACCCAGAATGAGAGACTGCGCTGCCAGGTGCCCCAGGGCCCCACTTCTCTATATGACCTTGAACCCATTACTTAACAGTCTGAGCCTCAGGGTCATGTTCCAACGAGGAAAGTCCTACTGCTGGTGCAGGAAGATTAATCAGAGCATCTGAACTAAGAACTTAGCATAGTGCCCCCGGCACACAGGGCATCTATGGATGGTCCTATTGTCATGTGTGGACAACACTTGGCCAAGGACTAGAACAAATCTTGCCAGAGTCGTCGTCACGTGGGGTGGGACAGAAGGGGCACTTCGAATTAGCAGAGATCAACACTCAAAGTCTTTCACCAACTTCTTTTCTAAGGCTTGAGCCCAACACAATCCAAACTTTCCAGCCTCCCCTAAATTCCCAGACCCTCCCTCCTTAAAGGGAATGCCACCCCCACAACTTTACTGCTACAGGAAGATCTCTCACCTCTGCCCAGGGGAGGCTCAGCCTCCGGGGCAGGGAGAAGTCCTGGCCAGAGCTCCTGACACCCCCACCCCACTCGCCCTGACTCACCCCAACAGGCGGGTGTGCCCCGGGCTCAGGGCCACGGAGCCTGCCGGCCTCGTCCCGTAGCGCCGCGTTGGCCAGCAGCCGCTCCAGGACAGTCATGCTGGCCTCCCCGTCCCCTC